TTTGGAGACAAAAACAAAAAAACATCTTGAAAGTTCGTGAAATTTTTTTTTTGGTTATGGTAGTTTGGACCTTCTACTAACAGAAACAATCGAAATCTCTTCCAACTTTTTCCAATATTTGAAAATTTTCAATTTTGAAAAAGTGACTAAATGCCTTTTTTTGGTATTATTTTAGCTGATCTATATTTACAATACTTTTTCTGAATGCCCTAAGATCTAAATTTTTGGTTCGCTTTTCAAAAATAAGGTGTTGAATTAAAGCTAAAAGTGCAAAAAAAAAAAAATTAAGAGGTACAGGGTGCTTTGAAATGAAAAAAATTATCAGCTAATTAAAATACTTAAATATGCATCACGGTATGGGAGCCAAAAACAAAGGTATACGAAGATTTACATATATATATATATACATATATATATAACTATATATATAGAGCAATGACACCAGTTTACAAATAATATGTTAACCAATTCGGGTAAGGAAATAAATGCAATCGAGACACCTTACAGCGCCCAATGATTAGACGAAAGGCGAACAAAAAGAAAATAAAAATAAATAACATACCTATTACTCTTCATCTGCATAAAGAGTACTATTTTGCTTAAGCAGCAAACAAAAACAGCTTGCGAAAATGATAGTACAAATGTATGCACATCAGGGAGGTCCAATTTTTTTAAATATTTTTTTTTTTGATTGAGTCTTTTTATAATTTTGTTCACCTAACTAATTACATTACCTGTGCAAAAATTTCAACTTTTTACTACTAGTGGAAAATGTTGCTCAACGCGAGTTTAAAATTTCATGAATTTTTCTCTGGTGCTAAGAGTCCTCTCTTGTGGAAAACAAATAAAAACCCAAGAGTTTAGTGTTTTGTTGAACGAAACAAGAGAGTTATACCTTAGAAATTATGGTTGGTATAACATGCCAAGTTCAGTGCATAAAGTTTTAGTACATGGATGTGATGTAATTAAATACTTTGATTTACCAATAGGTAATGATTTTAAAGCTATGTTTTCATTTATTTTCTTAATCTGTATTTCCACCTATTTTATCAGGTTCATTATCAGAAGAAGCCTTAGAATGTTCACACAAAAACATAAGAAAATATCGGCTTAATCATTCTCGAAAAACTGGAAGAGTACAAAGCAATACGGATTTAATGACTCGTTTGATATTATCGTCAGATCCATTAGTTGCATTTAAAAGAAATATAAAACAGAGAAACAAATATTTAAAGGGTTCTGATCTCAGCTTTAATAAATACATTGTTGAAAGTGACGAAGCAGACAAAAGCATGGAATCATTTGAATCAGTGATCACTTCCTCCTCTTCTGAGGACACTGAAACTGAGTGATTATAACAACTAGTTCGGTTTTTATTAACATATTATATGTTATTACCATATAACAGTTATTATTACTTACTTACTTAACAGTGATTATGCTTTATTTTAAATGAAATCAAAAGAATTTTTTTTTCTAAAGGTTAACATGTAAGGAAAACCGACTTAATTTTTCAAATTACCATATTGTATTCACTTAGGAAGTAAAGTTTAGACGAATTTTGACTATTAAGACTATTTTTCTGAACACTTAGCAACAATGATATGCCATATTTCATTTTTAAATAATCATGTGCAAAAACTCGGTGTTTTTTTAATGGGTACCCGTTACAAAAAAACCGATTACTTTCTTAAAATTAGAGTAATATAGACACTTCAGATGTAAAGTTTCAATAAATTCTGACGACTCCTTCCGGTTTTCGTAAACACCACAATCAGCAATGATTATGCCTCATTTGTCTTTCATATAGTAATGTAAAAAAAATCTTTTTTTTTTAATGGGTACCCGGTACCGAAAAATCGATTTCAGTTTTGAAATAAGCATGGCTTAGTCCTTTTAGGTGTAAAGTTTCAACAAGTTCTGAATACTATTTCGGTTTTTATAAACATATGTCTACGATGATTATGAGTTATATTACCTTTTTATAAAATTGTAAAAAAAAAATTTTTTTAATTAAATGGTAACAGATGCTGAAAAACGTTTTTTTTTTCTTAAATTGCGGTGATATAGTCCTTTCAGGTGTAAAGTTTCAGCCCATTCTGATGCCTCCTTCCACTTATATCAACACATGTCCACAATGACTATTTTCATATAAAAATGCAAGAAAAACTCGGTTTTCTCGAAATGAGTAACCGGTACAGAAAAACCGATTTCATTTTTGAAATTAGAGAGGCATAATACTTCTAGGTGTGAAGTTTCAGCCAATTCTGACCACTCCTTCTATTTTTGTCCATCATTTGTATGGAGTCGCGGCACTGTGCGTCATCTTAAATTTTTAAAATCTAACTGCAGATTCGTAATCAGCGACTTTTAATATAGTTAAAACCTTGGCATTATTAATTTTCTATGATCGTTTAAGATTAAATTCTTTCTGTGATCAATTTTTCCTGCACCCCTAAACACAAATACACCCCCTGCTTTAAGGGTGCACGCGATCAATTCGGCATAGGGCTCATTCGAAAGGGCACGGTTTAGCCTTTAATTTCTGATATATGCAAAATTTGTACCACGTCAGGGTTCAGCTCTATAATTTTTCGAAAATGGCCAAAAACGCTGTTTTTAGGGGTTTCAACCCCTTTTTTCTCGAAAACGTGACGTGATGGGACATTTTTGACCCCGGATTCGTGTTCAGCACGAAAAATCCGTTCAGAAACACCAGGTCCCGTCTTATTCGCAGAAAAAAAGTTGAAATTTGTAGACCAGTGTAATCTAATGCTAACGGTCATATCTTGGCTACTTCTAGGGGTTTGCTTGAACCAACATTGAGCTTGACGGCCGTGAATGTCTCCTTAGAGCCGTCTTTGCAAACTTTGAAGTAATGAAAGATTTTGTCTACCTCAGACTCAGCACAAATACTAAAATTTATGTCAGCTTGGAGATCAAGTGAATAATAACTCTTGTCAAGAGGTGCAATTCTGAAATTCTATGGTGCGCCCCCCAACGACGAACAAAAATTACGCTCTACATATCTCTCATTATGCTCATCCTTTTATACGAGGTTATTGCAGAAGCGTAGGATATTTTGAACAAAAATTAGAAGATTTTTGGAACTTTCGAGAGAATAATTCTTCATTATTAGTGAATGTGTTGCTCTCGCTGGGTGCAGACTCAATCACCTAGGTGCTATAATACTTAATCCATTCGAGATATGGAACATAAATCCCACGCACAATAGACCACCTCAGAGGTCGTGGTGCCTTTGGCCAATGATAATAAAAAAAAAGGCGTATGACCCGTTTCACTTTGGTGACGGGTGCCGAATATAATGAAATTACGAACTCTACTTGCTTTTCAATAGCATGAACTTTGTTAAGCACATAAAAATACAGCACTTGCGATGGCTTGGACATGTCGGATGCGAAAAAATGATTCGGCTCGCTCGACTCGACTTTGCTCTCACTTCTAGAATTATGCTATATCGATAACTTTAGGGGTAAATATAAGTTTTCCATGTATTTTATATGGGAAGAAGCACTTTTCGTTGAAATACTATAGAATTCTTGAAAATCAATATTTTTTGAACGTAAAACTTTGGTTTGGATATTTTATTGGTCCCCCCATTGCATTTGCTGGGGTTTATGCCGGACCCATAAAATATATTACCATGAAAATTATTATTTGGAATCTTTTGCAGACTGGGCTTACCGATCGAAAGATATTGATGGTCCATAATTGTATACCGTTTTTAGAATATTTTTACCCCCATCTAAATTGCATAGAAAACTTTGAGCCACCTCAAATTGCAGTATATTTTTTCGGTATAGAACAATCCTAGGGAATGAGAGCATAAGACTTCCGACTTTACTTTTTCATATGCATTTTTGGACCACCCTAACGAAAACTTGCTGTAACTTTGCGAAAGAGAGAGGAAGTTGGCGAAGTGTCGCGGCCTAAACCGACCACGGATTTTAGCGACATAATTTTTTTGTTTTTTGGATAATTAAGGTACAGTTTTCATTCGTCAAAACAGATTTTAAATTTTTTTAAGCTTTCAATCAAATATTAAACCAAAAATATGTAAGCAAGAGTACAACATTAAGCACAAAAAAAGTACACTCTTACTTTATGCTTTATTTCTTTATGTACATAGCTCGCGAACGATACAACTCGAATGCTATAAATGTCCATTTCCGCTAAAAAATATTCACTCTAGTTAGCGGAAAAATCTGCCAAGCAAGAGGAACCCTCAACAAGAAAACGGCAGCTATCAGCTCTAAAACGGCTTGACTGCGCTCATTTTCATAATACTCTACACTCGGACTTGAAA